TGAAATCAGGTCAGTTTTAAAATAAGTATAAGTTAATTAAAATAAAAGTATACTATGAGTTATCTAGAATATGGTCTATCATTTTACATACCTACCATAATCAAACGAGTTGTATGCTTGTTTGCCACCAAACAAGCATACAACCCGTTTGATGGTAAACGTCACTGTAACCTACGAACGCCTGTTATGACGCCGGTTACAGAAACTTTAATATACCCTTTTTGAAAAACCCTATAGTATCTAAGAAAAATCTCGGTTTCTGAGCGTTTTATATAACATACATCTTACATATAAATTTTTATAAATTTCGTCATCTATAATATTAGGTACATTTAATATATCTGATGAATAATTTACAAATAATGACATCAATTATTATTAAACGCAAAAAAAAAAAATCTAATTGAAATAACTTTCAATGACAAAAGCATTGAAGTCAAATTCCTTGGAATTCTTTAAAAGTTACCGTCTCAAGGATGGAGACGAAGTTAAATGTTTCGAATAACGCAATGAAATTGACCGTTTTCATTGGCATGTAGATAGATAGATAGATACTCTTTATTGTTTCCTCCAAAAGATTATAAAATGAAACTTATTATAAATATAAATAATTACAAGAAATAATCACAATGAGAAAACAATAGGCGACCTTATCGCTAAAAGCAATCTCTTCCAGCAACCTTTGGATGAAGAGGAGTAATTAGTTTTAAGCTAACATTAACAGTTAAATAAAATTAATTAATAAAATTCCAACACGTATTCATATAAAATTATTGTCAATTGACAATAAACTATTTGGGTCTGTAACTTTGTTATCAATTTTGAAACATTTTGATTGACTAGACTAAAAAGCATATGTCATTCTATAGAGAAATACCTGTACATATTTTATATAGGTATAGATCTATACTGAATATTACATATAGATATCTGCACCCAATTCCAGACGATTGGTTGAGCGATTAAAATTTAGAGCCTCCCATACTAATTTGACAAATGGACGCGCCGTGTTAATATGGGTTATTGAAAATTATGTATCGTTACTTTCTGTTACACTGCTACAATACTAACGTTTTCGGTTATATCCTGTATAAATAAATAAAAAAAAAAATCACCTAATTTGTTTATATTTACGCATAATAGATATGCTGAACTTCTTTCGTAGATATCTTCTTCACTGGGTACAGAGGAATAACACCTGAATCCTCAGGAATGGCAACGAATGGGGGATATCATGGGCGAAACAGTATACTCTGTTATATCCATGGTACTGCTCATGTCTATAGGCGACGGTTACCACTTTCCATCAGGTGGACCGTCAGCTTGTTTGCCATTCTAAATTGTATTAAAAAAAATATAATTAATATTGAGAAATTATTAAAAACAATGCTGATTAACTTATTGTCTTCTTTTAATATATAAATTACTATAGATAATTATTTACACTTAAACATAAATTATTACAAATATATATAAATTATATATAATCTATTTGCTATTCGTCGCTCAACAAATTAACTTGCCATTTCTCTTTTTGAATTTTATCATCGAATTTGATAAAAAGTAATAAATATTATTACTTAATAATATATAACTGATTAACACAAATTACTTTTTAATATATTTATTTCTAATTTTAGGGATTTCTGAAGACTATTTACGAAATTGTATGCAAAATACAGGTTATTCTTACTAATATTACGATTGTAAAAGTGAGATTGTTTATTTATTACCTCTTGATACCTTAACGGCTAAACCGCTATTGTGAAATGTTGTAAACAATAACTATATGGGATGGTGAAGGACTTGGAATACATTTTATCCTGATCTATGGACATATCCAGGTACACTCCGACGAAGTCGTGGGTAAAAACTAGTGCAGGATTTCCAAAAATATTTTAAACTGCGTAACCCTGCATTTGAGAATCGTAGATAATATAATACAAGACTTTAATATCAGTACCGCTTACCATCAGGTGGGTCGTATGCTTGTTTGCCACCTTAAAAATATAAAAAATACAAATAAAATGTTCGTAACAAATAGTAATAATGAAAAATCTCACAACAATCTCCAAGCACTTTACCGGTTATCGACACTCTGAACAATGCAATACACAAAGCTAAATTGCACTACAACAAAAAGAAAAGAACTCATTGCAATACGTTTAGCAGTTTAACGACAATTCGAGATATGCAATTCGCGAGGAGTCTACTCTCATCTATGTGTCCAAATAGGTATACGTACTAGTGATGTGTCGGATATTTATATCCGTATTCGTATCCATGGATAACCAAAAGAGAAAAATCTGTTTTTGTATTCGTATATTTATAATTTTGATGAACCTTAAACGGATCTTTTACATTATTATGCATATATGTATGTATAATTTTATTTTGTATATAGAAATATATATGACAATAAAGATAGCAATGAAATATTATTAAATTCATTTAAATTAATTTAATTTTATTAAAATTTGATATTTAGCTTAATTATATTTTAAAGTAAAAGAGGCTTGTTTGAATCGAATCAGTTCATCCATTGTTTCTGTCTACCCTAATAGAAGACAGACATGACAAGTATGTATGTATGTATGTACATTGCAAAAATTGAATATAAATATTTTATATTAGTATTGCTGATATATTATCTGAAAAGTACTAATAAAATATCTTTTTATTTAATAAACACAAAACATTAATCATTGTGTTACACTTATTAAAATCGGCACACCAATACCCACTAAGTAAAAAGGTATAAGATCTGTATCCATATTCGCAGGTCTAAACACTAATGATCCGTATTCGTATTCATATCCGCGAATACACATTTTTAACGATTCGGCACATCACTAACACGTACACACAGAGGCGGCCTCTGTCGCCAATCGAATGTCTGATTTCAATTTAGATTAGCCGTTAAACATGCAGCGTAAAGCTTATCTAACGAGTACACCTGTTAAAGTCCAAATAATTTATGAATACGCCCCGTGCCATTCTTGTTAACTTTAACATTACGAATCTGACCGTGAAATACTTATTGTGAAGGAGTAAGGTCCTTTTTCTTATATATCTCAAGCGATAGTCTAACTGCACATTTTGTGGTTATGTTATTGGCGATTTTATATTTATTTATGCATCCCTCTTCACGCAAATTGTTTAGCTTTAAGCGGTTAGTTTCAGATTGCGGTCTGCTTTAATATTCATTAAGGTTTGTGATTTTATGTTTATTTACATTTTACATATAGAGTAAATGGACATTGTGTGTTAAATATATTAGAGACTAGGAATAAAATGCGGTTTAAACTATGTAAATTAGGATAAACAGTCTCCAGTTTTAATGAAAGACACGGTTGATATATTGTATCGAATTATATTTAAAAATATTTCATCTAGAAATCATCGTGGTTGGTGATGACGATGATTATATTAGCCGTTAACTGTCCACTGCTTAACGTAGGTCTCTCCCATAAGGAAGATTTTGCAGTAGTTGCCAGACTTGGCATGCGGACTGACAACCGCAGTTAAACTTTGTTAGAGGAACACTGTTGCCAATTTCTCGACCATTAAGTTCTCTTAGTCGTCTCTTACGAGAACCACGGAAAAGGAAGAGGTGACCTACTCTATGCCGGGACCACACGGCAACATTGCGGTTAGTTCTAGATAAATTTATCATATTGGCTAGTGAACTACATTTTTCACTTGTTATCCTTTCCCTGAAAACTAGTAATGTCAAGGTTTAATTGGTCAAAGTGATAAAAGGCCAAAATGGTCTGAACCTTGCTTTTATCCATTTATTCACAATATTTATAAGATAAGAATTATAATCGTTTGAAATAACGTTGCAGTAAATTCCATGGAATCTCGAGAAACTGCCACAGTTATGTGGAATTTTCACTAGGACTATTTGTGTGGTATTATTTATATTTATGATATTGTTCAGGAGCACCCACGTTCATACTAATAATAAACATAGGTACGGAACGGTATAACTTGAGACTTTATAAGTAATAAAATCTCTTATCCTTATTAATATTATAAAAAAGAAGGTGAGTTTGTTTGTTTACAATTAAATTATACAATTAAATACATAGAATACTTGTTATCCTGACTAATAAATATGCGTATCCCGCGGACAAGGCTGTATTCATAACTAGTCCTAATAAGTAATAATTTATAAAGACGTTTGTATGTTTGTTACTCAATCATATTTAAACAAATCTGATTATAAAATCGAGTACCTACCTACTATCGAATGTATTGTGAAATAATTGCGCGTTTATTATTCAATTCAAATGACAGTCCTAAAAACTGACAAGTTATAAATTGTCAGTGAAATACCTCTCAAGTTTCAATGTTGCGATAACCATCGCTCTGTGTACATAGTGTATATGAAATGGTTATTTATTATCTGTGCCAAATTCTTCAGGTCAATGAACCCAAAATGACCGAGTCAGTCTTTGAAATGGCAAAAACATCATAAATAGATACTCATAATGTGTATGATATATATAGTAATAAATATCTAATAAATGACGGGTTTATATTATATTTTAATAATAATTTAACAGAAATATGTATTTGAAATCACTTTATATATTCACATTTGTTTTTTTTAGTTTATTTCAATTTTAGTTATTTTTCCTCAAATGATTGAATAAATATGTTTACTATAGTAAAATTTACCAGAATAAAAAGATTCATAATATATGCATATATATCTCATAACACATAGACAATAAATAATATTAAATGTATAAATGAATAATTATTCTATCATTTGAGAAAAAAAAATAATTAAAATTAGAAAGGCAACAAATTTGTACAAAAAAAATCTAATTAATCTAACCAACTGCCTGTCTTTATGTCGGACTATGCACTTGACTTTGTTCTCTATTAGCAAAATCAAATAAACATTACACATACGACTTTGTGTATAAGTCCAAACGAAATGTACTCAACTGCGCTGTTGCTAAATAAACAAACAAAGCGGCACTCACCTCTGATAATTGTGTTGTTGGTTGTGCATAAGTGGTTGCGTCGGTTGCGCCAGCAACAGCTGTTTCTGTTGTTGTTGCCGCTGCAACATCTGTTTCCCGAATACTCCGTAGCCGAAACCGTAAATCTCGTCCTCCTCTTTGTCTGTCAGGCAACTTGATGGCTGTATAAGATTTAGGCTTTGTTTAGGATTTTAATCTACGGGCAAACATATTTTCAGAAAAGAGAGACAGAGTGAAATAAAAATTAATTAAACTAGCATTAAAAAAATTATGAAATTATTTGTTTCTTGTTTCCGTTTATCTTAACAGATCAAATATATATAAGGTATATATAAATATACTTTTAATATCAACATATTTAATGGTATGGTATAACAATAACTTGTTAGTTACAATATTTTTTAAAATATCTTAGCGCAATATATGTTCTTAAGGAAACAAAAGAGTACAGTGTTTGGACAGTTATAAATTGCGTTAGAAGAACGTAATTCAATCTAACTTCTAAAGTCTGCTAAATTATCCCTTAAATCTGCTATTAAATTAATTCGTACAGTTAACAGCAATTTTCAAAGCTTATCAAATCCTTACAAGTTCTGAACGCATCGTGCTATTTTTATATAAACAGAAAATAATACGATTCCCTGACTGGCTGTTCTAAATTGCGTTAGAAGAACGTAATTCCACCTATCTAACTTATAAAGCCTCCTAAAGTATCCCTTAAATCTGTTGCTCAGAATATGTGACTGTTGTTACGAGCGCAATACATTACCAGTCCAACATATTAGAAACTTTAATGGCTGGTTGAGTCTGGATTACATTACATTTAGTCAGATTCGTAATATGTTTGCTATAAATTTAATGGAGTACATAATCTTATTTCTGATTTGTGATACATTAAATTATATTTGAGGTATGATTGTAAATTGTTACTGAATAATGTTAAGATATATTGTATAACAAGACCAAAACCAAAGTATATCATTTATATTTGCATGCTATTTACATTTTTATTTATTTCACTTACTTCACTACCTATGAATCATCAAAATCGGTCGAAAGTTGTATAGTTATAGCCTAACATGTAGACAAAAATAGGATATAATTGAGAAATTCATATTTTTCTTAGAATCTTTTATTGATTTGTGTATATTAAAACATATATTAAAATATTAAAATCTTACCGAATATTTTCCAGGCACATAAATTGGTTGTGAATGTGATGTTGTTAAGTTATTCAACGCGAGAGAGCCAGGACTGGCTGAAGGTGGTGTTTGTGGTGTCCCAGGGCCTCCAAGCACTCTCATCCTTGGTGACATCTCTTCCCATTCATGTCTCCTCAACTCCTCGAGATGGTCCAACACATCACCGTAGTGAGTCGAGAATAAATCCGCATATCTAGACGCAAGGCCCTCGAGGTAACCTCGATCACCATCCTGTGAAAGAAAAACCTAATTATTTTTCTTACCAATAATTTAACTAATAATTAATTAAAGACATCGGAAATTTTGTGTATTGATTTAAATCAATTAATTTATCGATAATAAATCAAATTAATTCCAATGACGGTTGCAGGCTAGTCACATATCACGTTGGATTATTCTCGACAAAATATTGGGCATATTGAATGTTACGTTCTCCACAATGGCAATAGTAAACAATTGTCTCTACGACCTCATTAGTAATTATAGCAGTGTGCCTAATACATTTTATTTTATTTAACGAATTTAATTAATCACCATATTTTATGCATTAAAGAATTTAACGCACTACCTATAAAACATTTGAAAGAATTAAATGTTAAGGACAATATATATCAGGGTTAATTGCTCGAGTAATTGCCACTGACTATATAATTAACAAATTAAAAATAAAAACATAATTATTTAATATGAAAGAATCTATTTACTTAAACAGGTCCCTTTTTCCACACAATTTCCACCGAACTTAAAAAGGGAAAGATAAAACTAAGGAAGGCACTTAAGATCAACGGACTTGAATTTATAGTCGGGAGTTCTTGAGAAAGATACTAATTGACATAGCTAGAATTCTACGCAAATTCACTGATTTATATAAAAAAAAAAATTAATTGAGTTCTAGATTTTTATTTACAAATATACATATATGTATAATTAGATACACAGAAAGGAATATGTAGCCTATTTTGCAAGTTTCCTACAACTAAAGAATGATATGATTTTAATTAAATATATAATCTTAATCTTTTGATTTTACCAATTATACTTTAAATTATATTTTTGAGACTGGAGAACAAACTCTCGTTACGACAACTACGTTTATTTATGTTTATGTACAACGTTTATTTTAAAACAGAGAAAGTGTAAATATATTATAAAAGACCAGTGGCTAGCATCATTTGTATAACTTTTTACAAATTACATTATGATACAATTCCTTTTCATTCCCAGGAGCCGACTAGGATAAATTAGCATAATACACTAAGATTGAATACAAGAAATGTAAAACTTTGTATAGTTATCCACCCTATACCAAACACTGGAGATATTACTACTTTTGTGTCGGCATCGTTCTGTACTGTCAAGAATTGCTAGGCTTCTTTTATTATACATGAGAGACTGTACCGTAGATAGAATGAACTATGGACTACCCTATGCTCAACAGTGAAATTATAGTCTGTTATGGTAATACTAATTGACAAATACACAATAACATAAGGTATTTTTATAAAATCAAAACAAAATCGGAACTTCATCAATGGCGAGTCGCACTTAGAATTCAGCCAGCGGTCGCGCGCCGAGTCAAAGATGGCCGGGGGTTTATTTCCATTTTTAAATGAGAGCGGCTGAGAGCTTTGTCGGCTCTGAGTTTGTGCTCTGCGTTTTAAGTGGATTAAATCGCTCCACGCTCGTAAAACCGACAAGTGCTTCAGCTAAGAATTAAAGTAACAGTTCGACTTTTGCATGAGAAAGTGCTCGCGGGACCTTGCTTCGCACTTACTCTCGCAATTTGATGCGATTTCAGTTTATTTATTTTCTGGTGGAAATCCCGTTCGATCGAGGTTTTAGCGGAATGCCGTTCCCTTGTGAATGGCAAATGAAATAAATTCATTTAGACTGTCTGTATAGTTAATACTTTTAGCTTATTTTTTTACGCAACTCGAAATGAAAACATGCTGAAGGCCCACCTGTTGGAAATTAGTAACAATTGCCTATGACTATAATATGATGCCCATATTCTTAATATGTTATTATTTCTGAGAATTAAGTCTTTACGTCTCTGTAATCTATCACTTTGATATTCCACTCTTCACGGTAAACATGAGTGCGAAAAATATATGTAGGTACTCAAGAGAAAATTTTGTGCAGACATCCTCAATAAAACCCAGTATCTTTAATACCTGTGTTATTTGAAAGTCTTCTATGAGCTAACTTTAATGTTATAAATGATTATTTTTAATCATTGTGCATGGATTCTACTACCATAGCTCTCCAATTAAACAGATATAAAACTCCATAAAAAATTCGAAACATAAACATAACTTTCTCCATTGTATTGAGAGCAACCTAAAGATATTCCAGTATAGACAAAGTAAGTCAAAGAAGCGCCATAAAAGACAACAATAAATAGCTCATGATGCTTTGGCACAAGGCATCGTAACTGCTCTTGAATTTAAATGGTATATTTAGACCACGTCCAGTCGTTTAGAGCATAGAAACGGGTTCATTGAATGGTTTGCCAACGACAGCTGGAATGTTTACGAAAAACAACCTACGAAAAGTTAAGCAATAGAAACAAAACACGAAATCGGGAGAATTTTATTGTGTGCATAGTAATAGAAGCCGCTTCTTTCATAACGCTTGAAATCAACATTTTTAAGTGTTTGCTTGACTGCCATCGTTAGAAACACCAACCCATGAAATTTATCATGAACGTCGCAATATAATGTAATATCCATGGTTGTGCTAACATCTATAGGTAATGGCTATGGCTTTACATCAAATAGATCACCAACTTGTTTGCCTAGTTTAGAAAATGTACAAAAAACGTTTATTCCTAGTCTTTAGTTGAACAGTTATTTTCGCGTTACTAAACTGGACAGTTGATGGGTCAAAAATGTTACCAAACGATTTTCACTGTAGTTGACATGCTGAGATTAAATTGATTGGATTTGTATCGACGAGTCGTGATGAAAACGATTAATGATGAGAGGTGACAGATTATATTCAGCATTTGTTCAAGATGCCCGAAAACCAATATTTCTGATGATGATTGCTATAGCAAATGAAGTTAAAACTTTGATTCTTCATCAGTTAAACATAATATTATTAAAACTGTCAATTGTTATTAAAAGTCATCGATGAATATGATAAAGTTTGAATACTTGTACTTTCTGAACGATTTCTTAAATATTAATGAACATAAATGAAACGAAGTTTCGGGAAACGAACTGTTTACACAAATCTGACGAATTCAAATCAAACAACAGACTCGAAATTTCATAGCGGACAATAGAAAAGATAATTTTCCGGTGTCTTTCTAATTTGAAGCAGTAAAATAATCGATTCCGGCTATCCAAACGCCAGGTCCCCGAAATGTCTGCGCCATCGAACTTAACTTTAAAATGAGTATAAATTGCAAAACTTGGAAATTATTTGCGTCTCTCTTCCATGCCAATTTACTCCGTTTTTCCTGGGTTTCATTATAACAAGTTTAATTGAAGACCGCGTCCGGTGCATAAATTTAAACTTTTGACGTGCATTTTAATCTGCTTACAGTAGTTAGTTCACGAGGTAATGGCTAGTAAATGAGTTCTAGTCCACTTTAAAGTGTTCCTTCGTTAATAAAATATGGTTAATAATGTTAACGTATTACCAGCTTCTGCGGCTGTGGTAGCGTTCAAAGGCTTTGTATATGTCGGTTTACTTCAATGCTCATTTGTTGAAAGGCTGTTTTATTTTCTGTAGAAAAATTCAGGTATTTTCTGCTATATTCATAAAGACTAGTTGTAAAGTATGTCAGTGACAGTAAAGATTCTACATACTTTTTAAATGAAAATTTCATTAGATATGTAAAAATATTGTATACTAAAATACATAAATATGGAAAATTGTCCATAATCTAAATTAAGTTATAGTATTAGTAAACTATGTCTAGTGACAGTGACGTTGCATACAATAGTAAACACAATGAATGCAGGTATTTCGAATATGCAAATCTAATACTAATAAAAAATATAATAAACATTAATCACTTTGACACTTAAGATATTACATTAATTGTTTTTCATAAATTGTAACTCTCGTCTCTGGATCAAGAATCGAAACAAATCATTTTAATCTTCGTTCTGAGAAAATTAAGCTGAACAATTTTAGGCACTTAGATAAATGCTATAGAGGAGTGACTTAATCATTTCATAATTTATATTCCCTCAGTAGCTTTCAGTTGTAAACTGAGGCTTTATTCGCGACAATTTAAATGTTAAGCAGAATTAAGAGGCGAATTTATTCTATACAATTTAACAGTACTTAGTACTTGTCATTGAAATGCATAAAAAAATTAACAAACAATGTTTGTCATTTATTTACACTAGCTTTTATCCACAACTTCGTCCATGGGATATTACACATTAAAAAGTAGCATTATATTCTATATTATATCCCTTCATTATATCCTATATTTCATATACCTACATAGTATGTGTATACCAAATTTTATAGTGATTGGTTAAGCCGTTGAGGCGATAAGAAATAACAAAGAAACAAACTGAATTTTAAATGAATAATAAAAAATGTATAATATTAATAAGGATTATTATTTAAAATATGAACAACTTACCTTAAACAAAAGTAGTGAAATGTGAATTTGCAATAATTGATATTGTAATACACTCAGAAATTTTAACAATTCTATAGCCTTCATACTTAAATAACAAAATGATCGCGATGACTATTTGGTTATTGTCAGTAACCGAAAATTACTGAAGAATAATCGAAATGTTATTTAAGTATATTTCCATTGAACCATCATTAACCCATGGGAACTCACTACAAAAAGAAGACATGTATCTTGTAAATTAATTCAACTATAAATAATGAAAAAGGCTGCATAGTAATGATATTAATCTAGACTTTAGAAAATGAGCAACCCACGCTAAATTGCTAGTCAGTCAGTGCTATTTAGCATCTTATACGTAACTGAGTAACAAGCTCCAAACATCTTCAAAAACATTTATATTTATAATACGTATTAAATAAAGTATTTTTGAGAATATATTTCTGGTTGAGTATGTATATTACGTCAACAAGAACATGAATATAATAGACCAATTGAAATATTCCAAAAAGTTTAATTTATTTTAGTAATTATAAATAAATGAGTTCACAGGAATAAATAACATTTGCTTATTATTTCATATGTATTTATTTATTCATCATTTACCATATAAAAAAAAATT